CTGAACCTGTGTTTATTTTGTTTTCTGGGGTTTGGGGGGTTTGTTTATTGCCAAAGTCTGTCTATTATGTAGCTCTGGGTGTCCTAGAACTCATTCTGTAGACCAGGCTGGCCTTTAACTCATAGAGATGCACCTATTTCCACCTCCCAAAGGCGAACAACATACCTAGCCTCTGAGCCTAGATTTATTTTGGCTGACTTATAGTTACTAAATGTCTTTATTTTTTCTATAATATCAACTTTCCATTTACATATTGTTTATTCTGTATTTCTTTAAAAGTACAACTTTTACATCCAATTTGGTAATTTTTTTAACAATAAAATGTTCCACTGCATTTTTATGGCTATAATTATAACTGTTATATCTCATTAAGGAAGGGTAGAAAGACAGGGAAATTGTGGAAATGAAAAGAAAAGGAGCCCCTCATCCAGGAGTCTGGTCAAAATCTCTTACCAATTGAGGAGAATTTCAGCACAACTACCAACATCTGTTGTGAAGCCTGCTAACACAGAAATAATATTCCTTTCCTTTACAGATACTTTATGTTAAAATAATTAAATGTTTTAAAGAACTGTTGTGAGGCCTAAATACACATGTCCTGGGATAGGGCCGCATTCCTTCCCCTGGGCAGACGTTTGGCTGTTTGCTGATACAGGGCTGCCCTCAGTGGGTCTTGAATTTACAATGCTCTTGCCCGGGCAACCAGTGCTGGGATTACAAGGCAATGCCTCCAGGCCCAGCCTGAATACAGTTTTAAGCATGCTTTTAAACAAAAACAGACAAAAACTAATTATATAAAAGTCCTCAGGTACTTCCTGTTATCAGGAAAGGTGTACACTGTGCAGGGAGCAGCTCTTCTAACATGGTGCACAGGACTGCATTCATCGATTCCTTTTTTCTGATGTGCTTAGTACAGAGGTTAACTATGGAGCTGATTTGGGGTATATAGAAGAGTTAAGAGTATCTGCTTGTGGAAAGGATTACATTTTGGGATTAGGTGACATGTAGAACCAGTCTTGTTTAAGGCCCTTGGGCTGACAAGATGGCTCGGTTGGCTAAAAAGCCAGATTCTTGAGATGGAGAGCACTGGCTGTTTTCCAGAGAACCCAGGTTCAATTCCTAGCGCCCACACGACAGCTCACAGCTGTCTGTGACTCACCTAACACCCCTTTCTGGACCCCAGCGGAACCAGGCACACATGCGGTGCATGGGTACCTGCAAGCACCACACCAGCACACATAATAAAATAAATTCTAAATTTTATTTAAAACTCTCTAAGTGGGAGGGAGACAGCATCTGTAATTGGGAAGCTCCTGCAGTAAAATGGGAGCGAGAAACCAGAGAATCAATTTGCAGTGCAACCACAGAAACAACAAGAGATCCTGCCTCTAAAACAAGGCTGAAAGCCCTGGAGTGATGGCTCAGCAGTGAAGAGCACTTGCTTTTTTTGACAGAGGATAGTTCAGTCCCCAGAACTTACATGGTAGATTCACAACCATCTGTAACTTTAATTCCAGGGAATCTGACCTCCACCACACTAGGCATTCAAGTAGTGCATATACCCATTCGGAAGCAAAACAGTCATTCATGCAAAACCAAACAAATAAATCTAAAAACAAGCAAAAACCCAAAATGGAACAAGTGAGCAAACTTAAAAACAGTTATCTGATTTCCACATGTGTGCATGTCCACAGTCAGACTAAATAAATAAATAAATAAATAAATAAATAAATAAATAAATAAATAAAAATAAATGGCTTTTGTTTTTTGAGACAGGGTTTCTCTGTGTAGCCCTGGCTGTTTTGGAACTCACTCTGTGGACCAGGCTAGCCTCAGACTTGGAGATCCGCCTGCCTCAGCCTTCCAAGTGCTGGCATTAAAGATGTGTGCCGCGACCACCTGGCAGAAAACTTTCAGGAAAGTCTGTATTTTTTCTTTAATAACTTGTTTTTATTTTTATCCTTACTCTCGCTTTCGAAAACTTTAAACATGAATTTTCAACAACCTAACCATGTCTTTTCTATTTTTCACTCATTTTCCAACAGGACTGGTGTTACCTAAAGAATGGTAGCAGTCTAACAAAATCCCACTCCCTAAAGTCTAATGGCTCAAAACCTCCTGGGTAACCAAAATCCCCAGATACTTGCAACCAATTTAACAACTACGTAAATAGAAAAACTGTTTTCAAATACAAAAAAACACCCAAGTTAGATAAAAGTGGTATTTGCTGAAAGGAAAATACTCTGCCATAACAAATCTGCACCATTTACCAGGTACATTTTAAAAATTTCACTGAAATTGTTACCAAATATAGTTAACAGACAAATAATGCCATAAAATCGTCTTTTAAATATAAAATGTTAACATAACAATATTTAGCATTCAGAAATATATACAAATATATATTTGTCATTTAATGTGACTATAACATAAGGCCATAATAAAAGGTCAATGAAGTTTGGTTTGTTCATCTTTTCTGTAGACATTAAAGTCAAATGACATCTGCTACTACACCACATTTCTAAAGCTAAGCCCAATCTACTTATCACTACAAAAGCAAAGGTTACCCTACAAATGTGCAGGCATGCAAAGATTTTTGCACTTTGGTGGTGGCTTGGTTTGGTTGGTTTTATGGTTTGGTATGGTATGGTTTAGGTTTGGTTTTTTGAGACAGGGTCTCATGTAACCCATGATGGCCTAAAACTCACTGACTGAGTAACATAGGATGACTTTAAATTCCTGATCCTTCTGCTTCCCAAATGCTGGTGTTACAGGCCTATGTCACCACACCCAGCCAGCAAAGCTTTATTTTTATATTCATTCATTCATTCATTCATTTAAAATTTCAGTGTGTGCACTTGTGAGCACATACATTTTTAAAGGAAAAAATCATGGTTCCCACCCCCCCAAAAAAATATTAAAAACAAAGCCCCTTTTGTATTTTTTTTCTTATATAGGCTTTCAATTGCATCCCAAAGATTCAGCAGTTTTTACAATGAAAAGCCAAGAATTCAATAGAAGAAAACAAAGGCCTCAGAAAAATCAGGCGGTTCATCAACGGTGGCTAAACTATCGTGTACTCTATTAGTTCATCAGGCTGCAAACTTTGAGTGGAATGACCAAATTTAAATTAGCTGTTGGCCCATCAAATGACAGGTTAGACAAAGAGTTATTCAGAGAAACCATTTTACGTACACACCATTGAACTTTGTGGAGTATTACACATCCACCTCTAGCACGGGTGGCCAACCCTTCCCACTCTCTACCACACGGAGGTCTTTGCAGAAGAAGCAAGAGAAGACGCGTTCACTTAGAACCTAACTCGTCTCCTTCAGCAACACAGACAGGGCACATGCGTACATTAAGATACAAAAAGTGGCTTTAACCAAAAGGACTTATAAAAATACTGTACCTGACATAATTTTTATTTATATTTTGTATTTGTTTTTACTGTTAACTTTTAATGATTTGATAAACCAGATGTACATCCTACATGCATAAATCAGGTTAATTGCTGTCATTTAAAAGATCCTTAAAGCATTATACCCATATTATTAAATCACTGGATTTTTTTAAAAAATCAATTTTCATTCTATTTTCTCTGCAAATTGTATGTTTTAAGGAATTAACTCATCAACTGACAGCTTTAACTCTAACATGTTCAGAAAATTTGTAATTCTTCCTTCAAACCTACTCTCTACAAATACATCTATATCGCAAAATGGACAGCGGATATAACCTCGATTGTGAACAAAGACTCCCAAAAACCAGGATCCTAACACACCAACTACTGCTCAGCTAAAAATGTCCTTCGGACCACAAAGCTCAAAGGTCAGAATCTTAAGACACTGTAGATACCAGAAAAACCCTACATCATGACAGAAACACAGAAAGCATCATGGCTAAAACGACCACTCCGAGTTCACACACCTGCTATCCTTCAGCTATTAATACTGCCCCTTTCACGTTCTAAAAGGTCCTGCTTTGAGGGAAAATTCATTGGTTGTGTTAGAAGTCAGAATGGTGGTTGCCTTGGGGAAGGGGCAGGTGTTTGGAGGAATCCCTTTGGGGGACCTGAAAATGTTCTGTATCTTAATGTGTATGTGGCCATCACGACATATACATGGGTAAAACAAGGCTGAACTGTCCTCTTTTATTGTTAAACTTTTAAAAAGCATAACTTATGTAGATTGAACATGCCTTCTCTAAATGTCTGTGTTCAAATAAAGTTCACAGATTTATCCTGGATATAGCTAACAAGATGGTTTTTCCAATCTATTTTTATAAAGACACATATTGTGTGTGCTTTTATGTAGAACCTTTCAAAACACTTATTTAAAAAAAAAAAAAGTCATTTTAAGAAGTCTCCAAATTTTAGAACCAAAAGAACGAAGATCTACTTATCCCACTTTTGCAAATAAGGAAGATAAAAACTGCCTT